AAGAAACATGCCATGTCTCCCCCCAGGGGTACTGCTAACACCCCATACACCCCAAATATCTAAATGATACAGTCAACAATTTTAAGCCAAGTTATTTAACTTTTTGGCACCTAATTTGGGTAATTTGAAAACTGGTATCACCGAAGGAAAAAAATGTTTCTTAAAACACTGATTGCTATCCACTTTGATGCCCTGGAAAACATCGCTGTAGGAGGACTTCGACACACACACAAACCTTGTAACAGTTGGACTACAATTCAATTTTATGCATGTCAACTCCACCATAAATTAAATGGCACTTACTCCCAGGTAAGTGTGTATAGGATTACAGCTATAGTCATGATAAATAGAAATCCATCTTGACATACAAAGTAGCCACATGTCACAAATGACTTAGAGTGCAGTTCTGCACACAGTTATGCCACTTAAATCCTATTGAATTGATAAAATGGAATTTAAATACCCTAACTGTGTGCAGGACTGCAGACTTGTTGTGCACTCCATCTAATTATAGTAATTATAGTACCCAGATGCGTTTCACATAAAAGGTTTGTCTAGAAACTTTGAAATTAACCTCTTTTCCAGGACTCAAAAACCTGGTACATATGTGCAGCATAAACAATGAAGCTAATCATATCAAAGGTTAAAAACAGGTCAGCAAACTGGAAAAATCTTTAAGACTTTTAACAAAAGGGATAATGTTTCAAACTATGTTCCCTATGATTGAGACATTTTTTAAAAAAAAAATGAGCAGCACATATCAGATAAAATTAGTTTAAATTACTTTGGTTTCCTTTTTAAAGAATGCTGTATAAATTAAAATTAAAGGGAAACTTAAAAAAAATCATGCAACTATATTTTACTTATTTATGGAATAACTCCCCACATTGATTCAAGGTGCCCTAACGTATATATAAAAACCATAAAAGAAGTACACTGCACCAAAAGGCAAAACAAAAGAACAGCAGAGACTAAATCTGAGTCTGTCTGTCTGTCTGTCTGTCAGTCTCTCTCTCTCTCTCTCTCTCTCTCTCTCACACACACACACACACACACACACATCATTTTAACCACTCACTCAGAATGCATGCAAAAATATAAGCACTTCCAACATTTGTGACTGGGCAAATCCCCAATGTTAATAATGTTGTGGGGTGTCCACAATAAATACCTTTCAGAAATTCCAAAGGAGTTAAGGGCACAGAAAAGTTGGAGACCCCCCGATTTAGCCTAAGAAACCCATATTTTAATTCTAGTCATTAGAGTGATGCATTGGTGTAATCCAAGAGCACACATTCCCTGCAAATCTTTCCTTATTGGAAATCTGTTGAAGTACGTAAGGGATGTACTTTTATGTTCGCAATGCATACCTACATGTTTTCTGCATCGGTCTCTGTTGGAAGGCACTTTAACAGTTTATTAGCATCCAAAAGTGGAGGAAATTGATAGCTTATAGGAATTTGACCTTATAGGAATTTGATGGCTATCTAACACGGTCATATACTAAATTATAAGCTTGTTCATAGGTCCTTGCACTGAAACTGTTTCAGTATTTTTTTCTTGCATCCCTGCAAAACCCAGATGTAAAACAAATCTAGGAAGAAGTGCTAGAGTTTTGCTCAGGGGAAAATGACTAAAATATAGAACAGGAGATGCACTCTGGAGGCCTGGTATTTTCTTTAGAAGACTATATGCTCATCATCTCTCATCCACCACTTTATAAAATGAACTTTAGACTTTCTATTTTATTTTTATTTTATTTGGATGTGCTGAGTGTATCTAGTGCTTTTATGTGTCCCTTTATTTTATTGATTCTTTCTCTACTGTAAAAAAAATAATGGGCTTTTAGAATCCCACCGCTACTAAAAATTTATCTTTCTCACTTTCTTGTTCATTTCTTTTTAAAACCCATACATTTAACTAGTAACCTTTATACATGATCAGATGTGACTGGCCAATTACAAACCTGAAAAAAACCCCACAACGTCTAGTAGAGTTTATGGTTCTGAGGGAAAACACACATGTATAGTTATGTACATTTTTGCTGTTTCATTGACTCACCTTTTGGCTATTCCTCCCCCCCCCCTTGAAATCTTTGTTGATATAATGTTGTATGAGATCCAAGTGTACGTTCTTTGTGCTGGTGAAATTAAAATTCATTTCCCAGTGAATAAGACTAATTGCTTCTTCAACCAAAGCTGGATTATTGGTCTTATTACAGGAGCAGAATTGATGTGGCGGGGAGGAAGGGGGGCAGAAAGAAGGGGCAGGGTGCCAGCAAGACTGCAGTATTCAGTTACACTTGAAATGATTTGTAATTCTGAGTAATCACTTAGGACAAGCCCTTGCACCATTTTATCTATACATGACTCTAGGCCAAAGTCAATACTCATAGTAAAATAATGAGATGAAGCTAACTGAGCCCTTTTATTAATGCTCCAAGGAGCAAATCCAATGCTTGAGCTTCTCCCATGGAAAGTATCCACTTCTTCCTAAAAATGAACAAGTGGGTCACGATGCCCAGTGGCAACTGGGGTACCTGCTTCTGCAGCAACGATAAGAAAAGTATCAGAAGCCTTCCCCCCACCTTTCCGTAGTTGTTGTTTGTCCACTCTGCCCTGTGAAGCTGCAGGTGAAACCGCATGAATTTTGCATTACCTCGAGGCTCATTAGAGAAATCTGTCTCTCTCCTAATAGTTTCTTCTGACTGGGGGTGGGAGGAGGAGGGAAGAGAGGGGAATCACATAAAGAAAACACAATGAACCTAAACAGATAACACACGGTGTGAAGTATCTGCGGTTTCTCTTAGCGCTGCCAATATTGCGCTGGCTAACTGAACCAACTGTGCAAGGTTTCGCGGGAGCTGATGTATGTAGCAATCAATATTATTGTTCCTAGTTCAATGGCAGCATTTCTGAGCCTGACTGGACTCTGTTGTCAAAAGGCTTCCCATTATTAGTATGGAATAATAATTAGTTATGGGTAAGTGTTTGGGCTAACTGATAAGAAAGAAACTGACTTCATTGTCTTTTTGATGTAGCCTTCATTGATTTCCCCCTGCACACTGAAGTTATTTTCTTCATGCACGATCATTATTTCTTTCATTACATGGCATCTGTATCCCAAGACTTTTTGATGCTTTCTGTTAAAGAAATATTCTGTTTATAAAACAACAATGGTTTGCAGTGTGCAAGAATGCTTCTAGTAGAGAAGCCAGCTAAGCTTAAAAATGTTAAGTTTGCTCAACAATAAAGTCAAGCCACATTCTGGAATTTAGCTATTGAAATCCACTCACATACCAGATTAAAACCACCCACATTTTCCCATCTAGATCCTGCCTATTACAAAAATAAGGTTGAAAAAGTGTTTGGTAGACCCCCCCCCCAACACCTGTCAGCACCTTTGACAAGCCACCTGCCCTGGATATTGGTGTATCTCCCAGCCATCTGTAAATAAGTTAGTGTGTATAAAGTAGACCCCTGGAGATCCAAGACCTTCAGGGACATTGGGACTTGACTTTGGCATCAAAGATATTGGGCAGAGACAGGGGGACTTTGGTCCTCCAGATGCTGCTGATTTACAACTCCCATCAGCTCCAGCAATTGTGGCCAATGGCCAGGGATGATGGGAGTTGCAGTTCGGCAACATCTGGAGAGTCAAAGCTTCTCAACTCCTGATGTAGGATTCATATCATTGGCCATCTGTTGCTGGAAGCTTTTCTTCTTGGAAGTCCACCACACATATTAATGCAAAATGAAAGAATCGCTCTCTCCAGGTTGCGGAGTTCTTTTCCTGTCCATGTGGTTCATCAGCAAAGTACTTCCACCATTCTCTGAGAAAGTCTCATTTCATTTGCAGAACAGATAGTCTGGCCCCTGAAATACCCATTGCGTTAGCCCCATGGCTCATAGGATCAGAATAGTCAATCAAAGTCCATCAACTTCAGTGGTTTATTGACTGAGCTGTGATAGCTTTAGGAAACTTAATTTCTGAGGTTTTACATTATCTCAGCCACATAATCTGTGTCTTTCTGCATTTCTTCCAGATGCTCTTCATGATGTGCTTAGTTCTAGAGATACCGGAAAGAAGGGATTAAGATTATTGAATCTGTTCAAATGAAACTCCAAATGCTAACTGAAATCAACAAAACAACTCACGATGGACTTCCCAGGCACAAAGCCTTGGTATTGTCTTTAATGAATGGCAGTGTCTTTCCAGGGTTTGAGACAGTGGTCTCTCCCAGCCCTACCTGGAACTACCAGGGGTTCAACCTGGGTCATTTTGGGTGCAAAACATGTGCTCTATTATTCTATTATTATTAAAAAAATAGGTTTTAACATACTGTGCTTTCATATCAATAAACACCTCTTTTTTAAAAAAGAAAAGCATAGATTGTCTCCAATGGCAGTGTTAGTCTGAAAGCTATAGGGAGGACCTTTTGCAAATCTAGGGCAGAAAAAGTGACATGTCCAGTTGGAGAAGCAAATAGCATTACAATACAGAGCACTACATAATTCTTCCAGGCAACCAAAAAGTGTGTGTGTGTGTGTGTGGAGGGGAATGCATAGCTTCATTAGGTAGCTTTCAGAACAGTTTCCCCAAGAAGAAATAAGAACATTGTTTGAGTAGTCAGACATTCATTTGTGTGAGTGGAGATTGCATTTAGGTCATGCAGGAAAAACAGTGTGTTGCCCTAGCTATCAGTAGCGCAATACTCTTTACAGCGAGTCCTACTGTGAACTAAATTCAGGCCCAGTAGGTGTACCTCTATTGTCTTCAGTGAAGCTGCACTTGCTGCCACTGAATTGGAATTGGACCCTATTCCCTATCTGCTAGTTGAAAACAGAATATACTATCACCAGAAGAACATGTGGGCCAATGGATTTCAGAGCCCAATACTCCATTACCAGCTACTGTGTATTTTGTATATGCAGAACTATACAGAATTGTAGAGTTGAAAGGGGTCATCTAGGTCAAGTCCTTGCAATGTGGGAATCTTTTAGCCAACATTGCACTCAGACCCACGACCCTGAGATTAAGAGTCTCATGCTCTATCAACTGAGCTAGATAGCTAAGACATCACAGTCCTATAGTCCTATAGTCCACCTATACAGATAAATAACTACTACCGTCATTTATCTGGTGTTCCTAATGATTACTTAAAATCTTCATTTTATTTTAGTTCTTCTAACATACTCTGGAGTAAGACTCTATTACTCCCTTTTTACAGGTGGGGGGAAAGAGTGATGCCGACCAAAGCTAGCCAGCAGATTTCTAATTGACATGAGATCTAAAATATATAATGATACCCAATTCTATTTCTCCATTACATCTCATTCAGGAGAGGTTGTGCAAGGCATGGAACGACGCTGGACTAAGTGGCAGAATGCACGATGGTCAATAAACTGAGCTTGAATCCTGGCAAGACAGAGGCCTTGTGGGCAGTTCCTTATGTTCTCCTTAATCCATCTCTGTCACTAGAGGGCCAAGTGACCTCTGTGGCCAGGAGTGGTTCTTATCAGCATGTAATCTGTTACTGTTCCTGGACCACAACAGCTCAACTACAGTGGGCCATACATTGAGATTCCCAAAGCTTGATTACTGTGACATGCATTTTATATGGTGTTGCCCTTATATATGTATCTGGAAATTTCAACTAGTGCACAATGCAAGGGCCATACTGCTCACTGGAACAAATTACATGCTACTCTGCTGCTGAGAGAACTGCATTGGTTGCCAATTTACTACCAGGCCAGGTTCAGAGTACCTGTGTTAATTCACAAAGCCGTAAACAACTTGGGCCCTAAGTGCATTTAGGACCCTCTGATTCCTTATGTTCTAAGATCCTTTTGTGGTTCTCCATGTTCCTGAGGTTCAGTTGGTACTCACTAGGGACTACAGCTTTAGTGTGGTGGATCCTTTCTTGTGGAACTCCCTATTAAAAGAGACTCAGCAGGGACCATTTCTCCCTCCTTTCAAACGTGTTTGAAAACTATATTGTTTAGCCAGGCTTTTGCAATATGAATTTTCTCTTTTTAACTGATCAGTGTTTCTTTAAATTTTATGGATGTTTTTATGGATGGTCTTCTCTAATTTTATTTTTACTTATTGTGTATTTGCTATATGTTTATGAAAGGGTGGGTTAAAGGTAAAGGTAAAGGGACCCCTGACATTACGTCCAGTCGTGACCGACTCTGGGGTTGCGGCGCTCATCTCGCTTTATTGGCTGAGGGAGCCGGTGTTTGTCCGCAGACAGCTTCTGGGTCATGTGGCCAGCATGACTAAGCTGCTTCTGGCGAACCAGAGCAGCGCACGGAAACGCCGTTTACCTTCCCGCCGGAGCGGTACCTATTTATCTACTTGTACTTTGATGTCCTTTCGAACTGCTGGGTTGGCAGGAGCAGGGACCGAGCGACAGGAGCTCACCCCGTCACAGGGATTCGAACCGCCAACCTTCTGATCAGCAAGTCCTAGGCTCTGTGGTTTAACCCACAGCGGAAAGGGTGGGTTATAACACATAAATAAATAGATAAAAACTCAGGCTGTATTTCAAACGCATGGAAGTTTGGATTTTGCAGGGACAGAGGAAGCTTTTCTTCTGGAATTAAAAAAAAACTTTAAAATTATCTATACACTTAATCTGTTTATTTCTCTGTGAAATCCAGGCATTACATTGTGCAAAATGATATGCTAAGGACTTCTTTACATTTCTACACAGACAGCACTTCTTTGTAGGAAATTGCAGGTTTCCCAAATGCAAATGGTCATATCTCATATCTTGATGGAAAGCCAGGTGTATGTATTGCACAGTAATTGTGTGCAACTGTTGAACGTATTTATCGATGTGCAGGTTACCCATTATTCATAAAACAGATGTTAATCTTTTGTGAAGCAGACCTAGCAGCAAAATCCTGAAACTATAATATTTGTAAAGACGTTCTATGACTACTCCATTTCCTCCTCAATATGCTTAGTTTAGGATTGCCATTCAGTTCAAATGAGTGGGCTGTCCAAGTCAGCATGGTTTGACTGAAGCTGCTGGTCACGGAATAACATCACACGGAGTCTTACATCATTCCATAGGCTGTAATAGGATAAACTATGCTGAACTCCCACGAAACTCTGCAGCTGTATATAAAAGCATGTCAATGTGCCAGTATTCAGACTCATTACCAGTCTCATTTTAAGTTTATCAGATAACTAGATCAAAGTAGAGAGTGCAATTTTAGCAACCATTTTTGAATGTGGCTTTTATTTTCAGAACCTTGACTTCCCTCACTTCAGAAATAAAATATGGCTAATGATGATCTGGAAACTATTAACTTTAGAAAAGAACAGTTTAAAGTATTTGATTCCCCTTTGATGAAGTGTGAACACTAGACCTTTCTCCCAGAGGTGTAATTGAGATTTGCACTTTTTAAAAAATAAGTTAGTAAGGGGAGAAGCAGGGTGAAGAGGATGAGGGAAATGATATTTTAGGTTCGTTACTTCATTGAAGAGAAACCATGAATCCAATGAGCAATCTGTTAGCAAGCCTTGAATTTTCATTTCACACCAAAGTTATCAATGCTGCATAACCTTCTTTGTTGAAAATGCCATTGATTTTGCAAACTTCAAGCATCAGTTGTCTGTGTCCATTTGGGTATTAATCATTGGTCTTTTGCTCTTTTGCAGATTTTTCAAAAACAAACCTAGTTTGGGCTTTAGTCCCTACCCCCATCAACAATCTTTGTTTAATTGTTGATGTTTTGGATTCTCTTTACTGGTCAGGATTTTAAAAACGCAACAATTTCTGAATGCACAAGGGGCTTTTGTGATTATCAAAAGCAGCCCCCTATCCTTTCTATTAGATGGAAACTTGCATTTGAAACTCTCAAAAGCAATTTGTGATATCCAGTGAATCCAAAAACTGCTACTCTAGATCCATTTTGATTGAACTTTAGGCCGAGTTTCAGCACTGAGACTGCCTTGGTTGCTCTGTCTGATACCAGTGTTAGGGAAAAGGGGGAGTGTTCCCTCTCAATGCTCCTTGACATGGACGAATGTTGTTGGGATTGGAATAGCAGGACCAGATGGTGGGGGAAGAAAAGGATGGTCTGAACTGCAGAACCTAGATTGGAGGAAGGTTGATCTCCACTTTCTCCCCACTTTGCCACTTTGAAAGAGAAAGGAGGGATGCTGGCTCTCCCTGCTGCTCTCCTATGGAGAGAGGAACCTCAGTGGAGGTTGATTAGGCCTTTGATCAGTCAATGTGGGAAGCTGAACAAGAGGCATAAGCAACTGAACATGAGTCTGAACAGGAGGGTACAGTCTTGTCACCTAAAACAAGGCACCTGTTGGACATCGTTGTCACTTCATTCCACTGGAGTAAATAGCAATTCCGGTTTTCTGCAGATTGCTCTTTGTTCTGATTTAGACCTAAAGAGTAGGTTTTCCTTGGGAAAGGAGTGGGGCAAGGGGGAAACCGCTCGGACCCATACCTTCTAGGCACGGCACAAGAAGAAGTGCGAACGAGCCCTCTGTTGTGCCTTGGATTCCCTTCTCCATGGCCCATCAGTCACTAAAGCTCTAACTGGTCCATCTACCCTACAACTATATAATGGTTAATAGAATGGTTTTACTTTCTTCAGTTCCATTTATGAGCCCCGTGAACTGGAATTTTGTGAGGTCATTCAGCAATCTTCAGGAATAAGTCATAACAGTTCAATGAATCATTATACTCTTTCCTCATGCTATTTCATTGACCCATCTTTTCTACTTCCTCAGTTATTTCCCTTATCATTAAGCACACTCTGTCCTTAGCGTTTCTTCCCAGAGTACTTCTGGTCAAAACGATTGGTGCTTTTGTTAGCATGGTCAATGTGATCAAACTTCCAGCAGATTCAGGAGCTGTGGTGCTTCTCCATTCCAGCCAACCCTCAGACCACAATTTGGCAACTTTCCACTTTTGCAGCATTTCTTACAAAGACATCCCTTCAAGGTATTACAGTCTTGGCAAAATATGTAATGTAATAAAGTCTTTGGAATGTTTGGCTGCAGCCATGGCTTTACATCTGAATCCTCCATTTGTGCTGGATTTTATTTTCAAATCGATTCCACCAGATGGTTTTATATCTTCACGGTCTTATATCATGGTTGTGAACCATCAGCCGCAAGAGGTGGTAATGGTCACCACCTTGGATGGCTTTAAATGAGGATTAAACAAATAAATGGGAGATATCAAGCTGTGCCTGCCACAATGACTATATTCTACCTCCAATGTCAGAGGCAGTACGCCTCTGAATACCAGTTGCTGGGAATGGTAGGTGGGCAGGTGTTGCCCTCATATCCTGCTTGTGGGCTTCCCAGAGGCATCGGGTTGACCACTGTGAGACAAGGATGCTGGACTAAATGGGCCACTGGACTGATCTAGTAGGGTATCGAGTTCTCATGTCCACTGTCAGAGGCAGTACGCGTCTGAATACCAGTTGCTGATAATGCCAAGTGGGAAGAATGCTGGTGCTCTCAGGTCCTGCTTGCAGACTTTCTGGTTGGCCACCATGAGAACAAAATGCCAAAGTATATGGGACTTATTCAAAAGGGCTCTTCTTACCTTCTTATGATCATCATTTGGGGAACATAGGAATACGTCATATTCTGATCCACCCACCCCAGTTTCTAAGAAAGTAACTATACAATTTGTATGCTCAGATGCAAGGTGAATTTCAACCTATAGACAGCTGTGTTTCATACCTATGGACAGCTGTGTTCTGCAGTACACTAGGGTGCTTTTATATTGGCCCCAAACTCTTATATACCTATTGAATGTGCATGCATAATATATTATTCCTGAGTTGCATATTTTCAGTATAATCACACTGCTGCATACTAGATTGGCATGAAGAGGCATAAGAAAACCCAGACGATCTTTCCTCCCTGCACAAATTCTGAGCCAGGCTACTTTAATTTTAAGCATGTGGATTCGGAAGAGAAATGTGCTTCTAGGTTTACCCTTGACTGTCCCTGGTGACAAATAATATAAGCTCCCAAATGTGTTTTGACCTTCCTAGGCTAAAGGCCAAATCTTCAAAGCA